TATATATATATACATATATATATATATATATATATATATATATACATATATATATATATATATATATATATATATACATATACATACATACATATATTTATAAATATATGTTATATATATATATATATATATGTATGTTATATATAAACACACACACACACACACACACACACACACACACACACACACACACATATATATGTATGTATGTATGTGTGTGTGTGTGTGTGTATATATATATATATATATATATATATATATATATATATATATACACACACACACACACACACATACATACATACACATACATAAATACATTTATATATACATACATATATATACATATATACATACATATATATACATATATATATATATACACATACATACATATATATATATACACACACACACACACACACACACACACACACACACACACACACACACACACACACATACATGTATATATACATATACATACATAGATATGTGTGTGTTATTTATGTATGTGTAATGTGAACATTGCACTAGCTTCTCGTTAGCAAGCTAAGGCAAAGCAGTAGTAAGTGCTAATCTCTGCTGTGACCACAGTGGGTCTTGCCTGCCTCTTTGTAGCCTGTTCTGTGATAGAAGCTAATCAGAGTCTCTTTCTCACTAAAGGCCTAGTAGGCAAAGTCACTTAGCAGGGTTAACGTCAGGCATAATGAAATATTAAAGTCTGTCTGTAACTGCCACTATTGTTGCCCCTCGGAATAAGATATAACCCGTTTTTGACAAGTTTTCATCCTCCTCAGATAGAAGACACTACACGCAAACCAAATCAGCTACAGAGAAGAGGGTAATGAATAATCTATTTCATATTCCAAAGGCACCCGCTGCTTAGAGAGAAAGAGATGGAGAGAGAGACAGAGGGAGAGAGTGAGAGAGAGAGGGAGAGAGAGAGGCAGATAGAGAGAGAGAGAGAGGGAAGCATAGAGGGTGAGAACGAAGGATGAAAAGAAAAGGAAGAGGGGGAAAAGAAAAGAAAATAGATGTGGCAGATGATACTGCCAGCTTGCAGTTGTCACGTGACCCACCTAATGTTTAAATAATAAAAAAGCGGATATAAACAAATCATTAGCCCCCCCATTGGTTGTTTAATGCAATTTCTTAATGAACATAATAGCCACAACTAATAATGAAAGAAAATAAAAACATCTAAATGGGCCCCAACTTATCGTCAGCGCTCAATTATTTCCTTGTCAAGTTGTTATGATTTAATGAGCCCCAGTGGGACTGACGGCTGTCAGTCAGCTCTGACTTTTTGACACCATTACAACTTCAAATAGAGCCGCAGCCACGCTGCTTTTCCACCAGCCACACACTGCTGAGAGGATCTGACAGGCCCGAGTAGAGAAAGAGAGAGAGCGAGAGACAGATAACACGCGCACACACACACACATGCTCTCTCACACACACAGAGACTGAGCCAGCAAAACACACCGACACACATCCAAGTCATTACATGCACAACCGACTGATGTCTCACATACACACTCACAGGTGCATGAGAAAGGAATGCATGGCTTCGCACAAAACAAGGACAAACAAATCTCATCGCGATCACACTTAAACGCATTCGCTCTTTCTCTTCGCCGTTTGATGCGAAACCCAATCACAGAGGTCATTATCTGATGAGGTTTGTTAAACTGGCGGGATCCAGCTCCCCCCCGCTCTTTCTCTTCCTTCCTCAACTTAATGATAACTCTCAATAGGTTGGCCCCACATGGGACATGCGGAGACGCACTATTTTGTTGGCCATTAATTTGGTGCTTTGAAGCTGTAGCTGTGAAGCAGAGGCTGAGAAAACCCCCCACCAGGCTGCTTCCAAAATAAGACAATCCACCCGGCCTGAAACAGAATATCAAATGCCGTCTGCCTGTCTGATGGTCCGTCCGTCCGTCCGTCTGTCTGTCCATTAGGCACCTCCACCGACTGAGGTGTGCACACATACGTCACATGTGCGGGGGCTGCTAGTGAATTGCCTACATAGACAGTATCATGAGTACAATCCCTAAGTGAAAGGCAAGGGGCCTAATAATATCAAATTTAGGATTTTTATTGGAGTTATTAGGATCTTCTCTTGGTCTATATATATATGTATATGTATATGTATATGTATGTATGTGTGTATATATATATATATATATATATATATATATATATATATATATATATATACATACATACATATATAATTGATTCACTGAAATGTAATGATTTTATACTTATAGAAGGCTAACTACGATGGCCTCAAGAGGTACAATGGCATATGCTAAAGGCTACAGTCTTTAATATCTCTATTATCATGCTCATTTCCCATGTTAAAACTAGTGTGAATCCTGCTTGTAGATGGGCAGTAAAGCATAATTGGTGCCGTGACCCGGATGAGAGTGAGGTTTAGGGGGCAAGTATAATGAAGACCATGCTAGCAAGAGCTGTGCAAGTAAACCTCTCAAGCCTCCATAGGTCAACTGGCTGTGGTTTTAGCATCTATGTTAACAATTCTTCCATGCTTGAGATTCTGGTTTCCATCCTGTTTGAAGTGGTTTAAGTAGTTCTTGAGGAGGGATTAGTTTCTTCTGAAAGCTCTAAAATGCGAGCCATCAGAAGCAGCATTCCAATGCAAAAAGGCATCAGGGCACACTTGATAATCCACAATGCGTTCCTCATAATTGAGCTTTAAAATAAAGATGGTGTCTGGAAGTGCTGCTTGAGTGTCTTTTTGGTGTAAATGTACTTTATTAATTTTTTTACTCCTGATGGCATTTCTCGCGAGAAGCAAATATTGTATCAAGCAAATAATTTCTTAGTTATCACCAATGCTTTGTTGTACATGGTTAAGTTGTGCGTTCTCAAAACTCTGTTTTGTGAGGTCAGCTTTTAGGCGCCTTCATTATGTCATTAGCTATAGCAACACGCTTGAGTATTAAGCTTTGAAAAAAATCCTTGATCAAAGATAAACAACAAAGATGATGAATGATAAAAGATGATAAAACTGATTATCCGACTTTATGCTTAGCACATTCTGTCATTAGTTTAGCAGCGTGCTAACAGCTACAATTGTAATTTATTCAAGCTAGCAAAGTGTTATGCTAATAATAAATACTACTGATTTGCTAAATTTTTAACAGATATGTTTAACAGATTGCTCTTAGCTTAGCAACAAGCTATGGCCAGAGAACAACCTATGTTATAGATTGCTTGCAACAACGTGGTTCTGATGATGCACAGTATTCAGATGGAGGGCAGAAAGTTAAAAAAAAAAAACTGAATAGTAGACATCAAGGAAAGTCTGTATTTTTGCATTTATACCATATTTAAGAGGAGAGATATATATATATATATATATATATATAGAAAATTAACCACATAGGTTGGGTTATGATTCTTATATCATGAGCAGAGTTTTCTACTAAACTAAGATATTTTGCCTGTCATCGATGCAGTACACACTGTATAATTACATTACATATGGTTAATACTAAAGAGTTTGAAAGTAAACTTGTTGAGAATTACTTAAATACAACTGCGTGGACCCATAGTCTACATTATTTATTCATTCATTCATTCATTCATTCATTCATTTATTTATTTATTTATGTATGTAAGGGGAAAAGGTTCTCTACAATAATATAGTTGTCACAAGGGTTGCATTTCTTTTTTGTTCTGTCGATGAACTTACCAGCAACAAACATTCACCGCTGCTGCGCATCTCATTGTTCACGTTATGGTTGTTTATTCTGCCGAAATGCATGGTATGGCAAGGAACGTTATTTATATTCTCCTGGATTTTGTATAAGTGTGGTGGTGTTTGTATCTGATTTTAATTATTAAGTATTATTTATGCTATATAATAAATTACCCAATAAATTGTATTTTTAATGCTTTTGTTTTTAAACAAAATGCTGCTAAATGAATGTGCATATCACACTACCAGTCGTCCAGGTATCTATGCAGCTGAGGAGTAGAGGATGTTTGCAGCATGAACCAGTACAGAATTATGACATATATCGATCAAAAATTATATAAAAGTCACATGAATTCCAACATAACTGTTCACACTGTGGACGGATTGTAAAACATCAGATCTGTATCTGATTTAATACAACATATGAAAGTGGCAGAAATCGGAATTGGAATGATCACATTCCATGTGGTTTGGGCTGTTCACACTGTCATGACAAAAACAGATCTGAGTCACATGTGGGCAAAAAAAAAAAATCAGATTTCAGCCACATTTGCCTGCAGTGTGAACATAGCCTCAGAGACAACAGTGTGTTCAAATGATAAAGTCAAGTGCTGTTCTTCTCATCCAGTGAATTATGCCCTTAACACTCATAAAACAACCATAGATTGTAAAATAGCTACCATTCAATAATGTCTATGTTTAACCCATTCCTTTAAAAGCATGCTAACAGCTTATTCATTTCCTAAAAATCATTCGAAGGTTGCAAACAACATGAAAGTATAAATAGAATTGATTTGCCACCCCCTAAAAATTATCATTTAACTATGAAAAACATATTATAAACGTCATAACCTGAGCTATAGGCGAACAGCAAACCTATTCAATCAATAGTGTAATTATTCTCCAATGTGTTTAAAGATGCTAACCATGTAGAGGGCATAGATCGAATATAGACAAAACCAAATGCTCGTTAAAAAAAAACTTCAATAATTTGGGTTTGTGCATACTCGACACAAATTTGGGTAGAAAAAAAGAGAGTACATTCAGTATATATAGAGGCAGTCACTGCATAAACACACTAAAGAATGATAAACTACATGAAAAGAACCATTACTACATAGCAAATCTTTACCTTCTTTCTTCTACACTAATACCCAAACAGCAGGTGAGAGCCTGGAGCAGACTTCCAAATTTCGCATATTTCCATACTGATGCTTGTTTGTTGGTCCCCCTATAAGAATAATGAAGCACATCTGCAACCATATTACACAGTAGAGACAAGTGATGTCATTTTAATGTCCAAACACTAACAGCTAAAACAAATGCCAGATAAACCGGAAAGAAAGTTACAGCCAAAAAAAAAAAAAAAAAATACAAATACACAATTCCTCTGAAACGACAAATAAATACAGGAAATACTTCTCATCAGTACAGTTGACTAGCATGCTGTCAGATTTGATTAGCAAAGGTAAGAGTGGACATGGATGTCTTCTTGTTCAAAGCGGTCCTGCTGGTTTAACTAAACACATGCGAGGTCTTTGCTGACCTTAGAGGAACAGCGTGAGAAGCTACTAATCCTGGATGAAGGGAGGACAGAAAGACGGGCGCATGACCTTTGGGCTGTGTGTAGTGTGTGATTCTGCACCGTGTGTTAAATGGTACTGCACCGGGGGCTCACAAACACACACGCACGCACACATACAGTACAGTTTAAAAGCCTTAGGTTACTAGCATTTTCATCAACAAAAACAGTCTTATCTTTTGGTGAGTTGTGTCAGTAGGATGTTTTAGTTTAAACTTTCAATCATTATTCTGATACTTTATAATAACTGTACACCATGAATCACCCATTAAGCATTAGCAAATAGTGAATGCATTATTTGTTAACTCTACAATAGGAGATGTTAGTAAGCAGTTTATAATTACAGATACAAATGCTCTATTCTTGACTTAATGTGCTAATTATTTGTTCTTTCATATTTTTTTACTGATTAATTTTTTATGACTAAATGAAGTTTTGCATTATTTACAAATCATTTACATTTAAGAGTATTTTTTTTAAGATCATTTAGAATGTGTTAGTAAAGGGTTGATAAACTATTTAAATCAACATTTATATATTATTAATATTCAGGCATTTACTAATAGCTAGTTTACATGTTAATAAATGCTTTATTAACTCAACTTCATCCAGTTTTGTGACCTAATCTAAAGCGAGGACTAATTTGAATTATAAATCCCTAATAAATGACTCTGTATCAAATGAACAATGAATGTTTGCAATCGTATCTAAACAGTAAAATTACTGTAAAGTTTAAACATTGGCGAATAACAGAAGTGTCAAAATATAACAAAAATTGGATAAAACTACAGCAATATAATACTTTAACAATGACACAACATTTCAATTATTCATTATTTAAACAGTACAGTGATTTTATTTTAGCTAAGATTGAACATTTTTATTTTTTATTTGATACGGTTTCATTTGTGCATCTTCAAATGAATTGAAATGAATAAAGCCGTTTATTTTCATTAGATTAGATCACCGAACTGGATGAAGTTAAGTTAATAAAGTATTTGTACTTTTGAAATAAACAACAAAAGAAAGTGACAGATTAATGTTTAAAAAACAATTCTCAATTAACATTCTCAATGAACTGGTTTGTAAATGATGCGATACTTAATTTAGCAATAAAAATATTATAATTAAAGTATGAAAATACAATCATCAAGCACATTATATATGCTTATAAGTCAGGAATAGAGCATTTGTATCTGCACTTATAAACTGCTTACTATCATCAGTTGATGTAGAGTTAATGCTAATAGATAACGAATTCACTATTTGCTAATGCTTCATAAATGATTCATAGTGTGTAATTATAGTGTTCCCATTATACCTGCTATTACTTTCAAACACACTCCAAGACACTTCAATAAACCTACAAGTATAGCTACATTACTGTATGCAGATTTATACATATAATCTATCAACTAACTTATATAGCTAAAATAAATCAACATTTGATGTATGCATTTAAACGTTGTCATTGGTAGACATGTGTATAGCTTTTAAGCTAGCTTTGCAGGTAGGTTTCCTGAAGTGTCTTGGAGATGTTAAAAAAGTTCTTCTGGATTTATTCTTAATTTATTCTGATTCTTCTTGCATTTCCATGCATTTTCCAAATGGGCTGCTGTCAGACTCCTTCCTAACATTTAACTAGATTATTAGAATTAATAACAAAAGAACTGTTTCAATATCTTCCTGTTTTCCTCTCCGATATCCTATACAATAAAGTTGAAAAATCCCTAAAAATGTAAACTGATATTTCCTACTAATACACCACACAACAAGATTTTAAATAACTCACTTAAAATAATTGTTTGCAAATGAAAACACTAGTAGCCTAAGATATATATAAACTTAATTTTGTCAACAAAAATAGCGGCAAAAATTGTGGAGCTTGACACAAACCAAAACGTAAAAGGTCTTCTATAGAAACATTACTGAAAACTATGAATGTGCATCTAATGAATATCTAATAATATGAATATCTACTGAATGAAAAGCACATTAATGTTGACTAAAATGTAGTCCAAAAGATAGTAATTGTTATCATTTTTGTTATAATCCAGGCTGTCTGTTTCTTAGATGAGCAGATCTGAGCGTGTGCATTCAGTCAGGTAGACCTGTTTGTTTCAAGTCATTTTCATTGACAAAATGAACACGGACTGTACTGTATTTACCCAATAGACAAGATTATGCTAGTAGCTTAAAATAAAACTGCAGGTTATGACATACATTGATGTTTATCTTCCTGTTCTTCAACCATCTGATGTTCTCAACATGGTCCTCTAGTCCATACGTCCGTGCCAGGTTTCTCTATGGGTCGGTGAGTTTTAAAAGTAATGGAGGCAGCATAAATGTAAGGGGAGAGAGGGAAGGTGCGGTCCCCGTCCCGCTCTGCTCCGCTCGACAGCAGCAAACAGAGGCCCCCTGTCACTGCCCACCAGGAATGATTCATGTGAACAATTTGTCCTAATTACTCCAGCCCAACACTTTTGTCACTATTAATCTTACACACACACGCTCATACACACTCACACATGCACGCACAGGGCCAGTCAGTGGAGATCAGTGCCCTCGCAAATTAAAATAGATGGCCAAGACGATGGTGAGGAGGATGATGGCGCCCAGGATGAAGACCAGGATGCGGTTCTGAATGATCCTGTAAGTGAGGAGACAGAAAGAGAGGAGAGAGAAAAGAGAGATTTTTAATAAGAATGATAATAAAAGCACACAAAATGGCTAGCATGTATATATATTTTTATATTTTTTTATATGTGTGACCCTGGACCACAAAATCAGACAGAAGGGTTTATCTCCAAACAAATAACTACACTTTTTTCATTGATATATGGTTTGTTGGCACAAAATGTGGCCAAGATATAACTATTTGAAAGAAAATTGAGTTTCAAATTGAGTTCTTAGAAATGCACATTACTAATCAAAAATATTTTTTTTTGATCCAAGGTTACATATTTACAGAAAAGTATATTTTTGTATCACTTTAAATGTCTATTTATCACTACATACAATTGAAGTTATTATTAGACCCCTCTTTGAATTTTGTTTTCCTTTTTAAATAATTTCAAAATGATGTTTAACAGAGCAAGGATATTTTCACAGTATGTCTTACAATATTTTTGTCTAATCAATAATGCTGACTTAAAAACTGTATATCTATGGAACAGGCCATTTTACTGCTTGTTGAATACTATATAATTTATAACAAAAAGAAATCTGAATAAATATTTCAGAAAAAAAAAGAATATTTTTCTTATCACTTTTATCATTTCACAGTCTATGGCAGGGGTCGAGAACCTTTTTTCAGCAAAAAGACATTTCTGTTTTTTTTTTTGGCAAATACATTTGTGTGTGTGTGTGTGTGTGTGTGCGTGTGTGCGTGTGTGCGAGTGTGTGTGTGTGTGTGTGTGTGTGTGTGTGTGTGTGTGTACAGTTGAAGTCAGAATTTTTAGCCCCCTTTGATTTATTTATTTAAAAAAAATATTTCCTAAATTATGTTTAACAGATTAACAGAGCAAGGAAAATTTCAAGTATGTCTGATAATATTTTTTTCTTCTGGAGAAAGTCTTGTTTTATGTCGGCTAGAGTAAAAGCAGTTTTTTTTAAAAAGCATTTTAAGGTCAATATTAGTAGCGCCTTCAAGCTACATATTTTTTCAATAGTCTACAGAACAAACCATCATTATACAATAACTTGCCTAATTACACTAACTTGCCTAGTTAACCTAATTACCTTAGTTAAGCCTTTAAACTGTATGTAAACAGTTGAAGTCAGAATTATTAGCCCCCCTTTGAATTTTTTTCTTGTTTTTAAATATTTCCCAAATAATTTTTAATAGAGCAAAGAAATCTTCACAGTAGTCCCTATAATATTTTCCCTTCTGGAGTACGTCTAATTTGTTTTAATTAGACTAGAATAAAAGAAGTTTTTTATTTTTTTAAACTATTTTAAGGTCAATATTATTAGCCCCTTTAAGCAATATTTTTTTCGATAGTCTACAGAACAAACCATCATTTTACAATAACTTACCTAACAACCCTAACCTGCCTATTTAACCTAATTAACCTAGTTAAGCCTTTAAATGTCACTTTAAGCTGTATAGAAGTGTCTTGAAAAATATCTAGTCAAATATTATTTACTGTCATCATGGCGAAGATAAAATAAATAAGTTATTAGAAATCAGTTATTAAAACAGTTTTGTTTAAAAATGTGTTAATGAAATCTGCTCTCCTTTAAACAGAAGCTTAAAAAATAAACAGGGCGGCTAATATATCAGGGGGCTAATAATTCGGACTTCAACTGAATAATATTACTATTACTATTATAAATAATACAGTTTAAACAAAACCTTTATTTAGGTCCATGCACAACTTATGTTAAACATGTCCATGAAAGAAGAATGGACAATGTATTTAAATTCTGGTAAATAACCTTTCTTTGTGCATTCTTTTTATGGTAAACTGAGTTTTTATTCATTTTGTTGAAAAAAAACAACAACAATATAAAGACACTTGTAATTGTATTTTCAAAAGGAAATTGATTTTTAGTGATGGTTATAATTGTTATAAACAGTAAAATATTATTGAAGGGTGAGAGCTAGAGAGTCATATATTTTTGGTCAAAGAGCTACATGTGGCTAGGCCAGATCTATATTTCACTGCTTAATGAATATACTCAAAAAATGACTTTTGTTGCTTGTTCAAACTACTGATTTTCAATGAGCTGAAACAACATTATTCTTAAGGGGTTTTTGGGACAACCTAATTGTTTTACGTTTAATCTACTTAAATTGGTAGAAAAAAAATGAAGTTAATTTAATCGATTTGTTTTGGACAACATGAAGAATTGTGTGGAACCCAGCATTTTTTAAAGTGTACTTTACAACAATGTTGACAAATAAAGACAGCAGTACAATCTAAAATCATAAGTACATTTTGCATCAAAAATGAATTTACGTCTCTCACTGAACTTGCTAAACACATTTTATTTCAGTCAGATCTGTCTCTTTAAAAACCAAAACACACTATCGTGGCAAAACAAGTCACACTGTGACAACTTAGCCTTTTCCCTTTCCATCTGTCTGCTGACATGCATTTAGAGTGTTTTTTTCCCCCCAACAAAGTAAAAAGTGTGGCTTGTGGCTTTCCTCCGGCTAATAAAGTTCACATATTTAGTGATGATTTTTCTGTTAAACTAACTCTCTTATTATCACATGACCACACAGTTAAGTCATTCTGTGCCCACAGGACTTGCTCAGTCATTCACAAAATTTTAAAAAGTGTAGTCGCAAATTCAGAACAAAATCTTTTTCTGCACTAAATGCTGGATATTTGACAATATTGGACATCTAACTTTTTTTCTGTTATTTTTTTTGCGTGTTTCAGATTATATACACTGCTAATATTTACATTTATGGGGTTGGCATTCTCTCTTATGCTCACAGAGGCTGCATTGTTTGACACACAACAGTTTTTAGTCAATATTACTGATTATTTCAGAATGATTGGTATTTTGACAATGAAATTTCTGACATTTGACAATATTTGAACTCTAACTCTGCACACATTTATCTTTCTCAGATCTCAGAATTAAAAGCTTTGTACATTACATATAATATAGTGTTTAAATGTTGAAAGTTGGTATGACTGTTAATCGTGTTGTTTTATAAAGAAAGTCTTATTGCTCACAAATACTGTATTTATTAGATTAAAAATACAGTATATTCTAAAAGCTGAGAAATTATTTTAAAAATAAAAACAAAGAACTAATTTATATTTGAATATATTTAAAAACATTTTATAATTGTGTTAAAAAACATGATGTATTTTTTTCAGAATACTTTTAATGAAAAGAAATCAAAATAGAAATGGTATGTAAAATTCTAAATGTCTTTATAGTTTAAAAATAAATAAAGTACCAATCTGACTGACTCCAAACTTTTGAACAGAACACTAAAGGTTTTAAAGTGATTAGAAGTCACTTCTTGGTTCATTTTGACATACTAATTAAAAGCAACACAACACAAATCATCTTCTGATGACTAAAATGTGTTACATAATGTTTAGTGATGTTTTATTCGTGTGGACTGGCCATGGTATTTAAAAATATAATTTTGTTAAAATTAAATCAAAACTACAGATTTACAGTGGTTAAAACAACATTGTATTTGCTTGGCACAGCTCCATACGTGCTGAAAATAATTATGAATACATGTACAATTACACTCTTAATCATAACCATCAATTACATGGTAACACTTTACAATAAGGTTCATTAGTTAATGCATTTACTAACATGAACTAATCATGAACAACACATGTACAGCATTTATTAATCATAATTGAACATTTACTAATGCATTATTAACATCCAAGTCCATGCTTGTTAACATTAGTTAATGCACCATGAGTTAACATGAACTAACAATGAACAACTGTATTTTCATTAACTAACGTTAACTAACATGAACAAATACTGTAGTAGATGTATTGTTCATTGTTTGTTCATGTTAGTAAATGCATTAATTAACATTAACTAATGAACCTTATTGTAAAGTGTGACCAATTACATATAACTTCATCTCCATTTAACATATAGGATTCCGATCCCGGACGAGCCCGCATATTTGTCAAAAGTCGGCTCAAAAGACATGACAAACTAAGGGGGGAAATAAACAGCTGGTTTTGTTGCAATGAAAATGTTCTTATTTGAACATAAAAAACCTCAAAATCAAACAAAATTAAGAGTACTCGACATTAAATCATTAGACAAAAAACTGCTTTCAAAAAAACTAAGACGAGAAATGGAAAAAATAATCAGAAAAAAAACAAAAAAACAAATGAGAGCAAGTGACATTCCAACATCGCCAGTGCTTTATTAGTAAGAAAACAAGGGTTCAGCAATTTTGCAGATGAGTTTGAGACCTAGTCCTACCCACGGACCGGCCATAGCAGGAAGAATGGAGATTGGCCCACCATCCCATATAGCAGAAGTTTCTCTGCAGAAAATCTAGATTTTGTCAACTCAGAACTAAGAAAAGGAGCCAAAAAGTGGCAAAGTGGTCCAAAGTGGCTGTGTGGATGTGTACAGTGAGGGTGCGAGCAGGAGAAGTAGGGGTGAGACCCTGAGATGATCTCTCGGGGCAAGATTCTGTCTCCTGTGTCATTCCTGATAAATGACAGAATTATCCCATGTGCTGACATGTGGAGAGAGCAGGACCACTGACCACTGCTATAAGCAGGAGATGAATAACTCTCACACATCCATTCATCACCACTGCAGCCGAGCAGCACATCCAACACACACACACACACACACACACTGAGTGAGAGAGCGATGCACAGTAAAGAAAGCAAAATACACACCTCAATGCTGCTACTCAAAACTGACTAGTATTCATATATACGTCTATACTCTGAAATAGGGCTTTTGCTCAAGCTATAGAGGACGATTTGTTAGTGTTTAATGTTCTGCTATTTACAATAGCCTGTGGTTATGCTGATAATTGGCTTAAGATCATTAAGAATATGTACTGCTTTCCTTAAAGGGCAATGGCTGTTTACACTAGAAAGTAAAAGTCCCTTTACCGATTACCTCCATACAAGCAAGTTTATCCTTAAGTAGAATATAATAATAAAAGGT